TCTTTATATATTTCTCGTATATCAAAGAATTATACAGAACCTATATTAATAGGTGATACATACTGTAAGAAGAGGAAACAAAAATAACTACTGATTCTAATCTAAAGTCAACTATCCTATTTTGTACATAATTAACTATTTACAGCTAGAGTCAACTCTCCTATTTTGTATATAATTAACTATTTACAGCTAGAAAATCCCTAAGGATCCGGCAATATCTCAGAGCCAAATAACTACTTTTTTTAACATATATATATATAACTAAATTGATTTATAGGTTTACATATACATATATCCAAAGCATATGAATATATCCATTCATCTTGATCTAAAAAATGAAGATCGGCCAGCAGAGAAAGAAAAGCACAGAGACGTGTTGTGAATCTCAACGAAATGATGGTGATGTGGAAAAAAAGACGGGGATATCAGATAAGTACCAATCTTATCTCTACTTGTTTGGCTACAAGGATTATGTTATTCCATTGTTGGATATAAAAAGTTACTATATATATATATATATATATTAGTAAGGATTTTGTTATCATTTCTTGATATAAAGAGTTGCTATATATTATATATATTTGTTTTTATTGGATCTTTATGGAGCCTATTTTAAATGTATTATATTTATTAATATAAAATATTAAGTAAAAATTAATTAATTTATATATATTAAAATTATATTATTATTTTATTGTCGTATCCTAGCTGTGTCGGTGTCCTATTTTTTTAAAAGTTGTCGTGTCGCCGTGTCCGTGTCGTGTTGTACTTGTGTCTTGTGTCGGTGTCCGTGCTTCATATATTGCAGCGTTTTCACTGGAGTTTTAAAAGTATTGCAAGTTTGAATAGTATAGCCTATTGCAATCGAAGAGGATGGCGTTTTATTTTACTGAGATGTATCCCCGGTTAGTAACCATTTTTCAAGAGTCCAATACCGTTGCACAACTCCATAAACCAGCCGTTCGATCAATTTTCACCAATATTCATCCGAGTCCGTTACACCGCAACCGCAACCGATACATTGCAATTGAGAAGAAATCGTTAGAACTGGAGAACCAGTCCAAACCAAACCGGTACTTCGATTCGGTTTCTTAATGATTCTGTTTTGATTCTAAAATTGAGGAACCAATTACACTTTCAGCCTTAGCTATTCAGTCTTGCATATTGGCATTATTTTTTTTTTTTTTTTTTATCTACAATATATATTCAAAAAGTAAAGAACCATAGTCTGAAACCGAACCGGTTCAATGTATCAATGGTTAACAGTTCGGTTCAATTCCAAATTAGCATGGAATTTGACCGTTTGCACCCATGGTCTATACGCTCCTCTCTCTAAGGCTTTGTTTGGATACATAGGAGAGAAAAGAAAATAAATGATGGGATTAGTTATGAGATAAATGAAATGAAATGAAATGATAGCAATAATCTCTATTTATGCTTGGATAGAAATGAAATGATAGTATTCTTGTTTGGATATAGATTGGAGAAAGAAGAGAAATGATAACAACCAAATTACTATCATATCCCTTTTAATAAAAGGAATATGAGTGAAATAATAATTTTCTCTTTTTAATTATTGATGGCAGTTTCGGAATTATGAAAATATTACTTAAACACTATCATTTCTTTCCCTATCTTCTCATTTTTAGAGATATAGGAAATGAGTGATAACTATCCCTAGGGGTGAGCAAATAATCCGTCAATGCGTCAATCCGGTCCGAACCAATCCAATCCATGTGGTTCGGTTCGGTTTTCAGATCTCATGGTTCAGTAATGGTTTGGAAAATTTGCAATCCGGTATTCACAATTCAGTTAACGGATTGGCCCCTGAAAAAATCGATCTGAACCGTTAACCGATTCGAACTGAACCGTTAGTCAATCCGAACCGTGAATAATATATATATATATATATATATATATATATATATATATATATATCCAATATTGAATATACAGTATACTTATTGCCTTATTTCTTTTTTCTTTTTCTTTTCTTTTTTTTAATTCATTATTCTAACCATAGCTCCCAAACAACTCATTACTCTGATCTGGCATCTCATTTCATTAGCTGCGCCTCTCTCGCCTCTTCTCTCCACCCACTTCTCTCTTCACCCTTTTCTCTAGACTCTAGTTATCTTCGTCTCTATGACAGTCTTCACTCTTCACCTCTGTTTTTGTTCACTCTTCGCCTCCCAATCTCTCACCTCTTAATCTATCACCTCTCAATCCATCGTTCACCAGATTCGAAGCAACGACGACCTCTGCGTATCGAAGCAACGGCGACCTCTTCGATCGGATCTACCTCTTTTCTAGTTAGTTCACAAAATTTTTGCATGGATCTTTTTATTCTCCTTTTCTCTGACCATTTTTTGTAAATAACATCAATATTTTCTATTAATCACCATAGCATAGTGATGGATCTTCTTATTCTGGAAGACGACGCCGTCGACGGCCATCCCATGGCTGAATTGTAACTGTGTGGCTTCGAGCTCCACTGTGTACGCCATCACGGAGGGTTCTCGTATCTGTTCGATGAACGACGCCGATCTCTCAGGTCGCTGGAGTGAGATTTTGCCCAGTGCTAGTAGACCTTCAGTTTATTTTCCTTTATCAAGACAGGGAATCCATTGCCCTAACCTTTCCGAAGATGTAAAGTTAAAGTTTTTCATTGGAAAATAAACCCATATGAAACTCTATCTCGGATTGAGAAGATGTTTTGCTTTTGCTGAAATTTTGATTCTTTGTGATTTTTTTTCTTTTAGGGTTTCCTTGCTGCCATGGACTCTTCTTTTTCCCTGTAAATATCATTGATTTTGTATTCATATTTTTTCTAAAAAAAATGAACAAGATTGACAAAGCCAAATCAGCCCAATCCGCAGAAACCGATCCAATCCGATCCGTTACTTCACGAATCGGTTCGGTTCAAATTGAAGGCCCTCACAGATCGGTTCGGTTTCAATTTTTGCCAATCCGTGAGGACTGGTTCGGCTTGATCTTTATCCCCAAACCGAATCGATCTGAACCATGATCAAGCCTAACTAATCCCTCCCTATCTCTTCTTATCATTTCTTTTTCTCTCCTTTTAAACCACCCAAACACTCTTAAGCCCTATCATTTATTTTTATTTTTTTCCCAATCCCTCCAAATCATCCACACTTAAGCCCTATCCTTTATTTATTTTTTCCCTATCCCTCCAAATCATTTGAATGCATGCTACGTTTTGTGTACAGGAATGGAATGGAATACAAGTGAGAATCATTATTTGGTTATAAATATGAAATGTATGGAAATGGAATGTTAATAACCAGTCTAGTGTTTGGTTTGACTAATTTAAAATTTAGAATGGAATAAATTTCTAATTGAATTCTCCAAAATATCCCTTAGTAACAAATAAATTAAATTAAATTAACAAAATGATATTCTCTAATAATTTTTTAAAAATAAATGGTGGCAATGGCAGTGGTGGATGGTGGAAATCGGTAGTAGTGTAGGTGGTGGTGTTGGAAGGCAGCGATGGTGGCAATGGTGGAAATTGGTGGCAACAGTGGTGGTGAAAGGTGGCAATGGTGTTGGTGGAAGGCGGTAGCAGTAATGTGGTGATTGTGGTGGAAGGAGATAGTGGTGTGATTATGGTAACGGTGGAAGGCAGTGGAAGTGGTGGTGGTGGTGGTGGAAGGTGGTGATTATGGTGGTGGTGGTGGTGGTGGAAGGTGGTGATTATGGTGGTGGTGGTGGAAGGCGGCGGTGGTGGTGGCGATGGCGATGGTGTTGGTGAAAGGTGGTGGAGGTAGCGGTGGCGGTGGCAGTGGAGGTGGTGGAAGGTGGTGGTGGTGGTGGTGGTGGTGGTGATGGAAGGTGGTAGAAAACGATAGCTGTAGTGGAAGGCGATGGCAGCGGCGTTAGTGGTTGTGGAAGGTGGCGGCGGTGGCGGTGGCGGTGGCGGTGGCGGTGGTGGTAGCGGTAGCGGTGGCGGTGGTGGAAGGCGTCGGTGGTGGGGTAGGGTTGTGGCGGTGGTGGTAATAAAAGGCAGTAGCAGTGGTGGAAGGTGGTGGCGGTAGCGGTTGTGGCAAACGGTGGCGATTGTGGCAAACGGTGGTGAAAGGCGGTGGCGGTGGCGGTGGTGGAAAGTGGTGGGCAATGGTGAAAGCCGATGGTGGTGGAAGGCAGTGGTAGTGGTGGTGAAAGGCAAAGATGATTGTGATAGAAGGTAATGGTGGTTTTTGGATTTGAAATATGAAGGTGTTTTGAGAAATCGATTTTTTAAAATAAATTACTTGGAAATGAAATAATCATTCTATAAGTTTAGTAGTTGTGGAACGAATTTTTAATTCCCAAGAATGAAATTCATTCTAATGGAATAATTATTCCCACTTTAAGTTGCATACCAAACAAAGAAATGGTTAGAATGGGCATTTCATTCTATTCTATTCTTGCACACCAAACGTAACATTAAGAGATGAACAATAGAATGTGTATACATATTTTTTTTTCTTTGCACGTATATCAACCCTGCTTCACAACACACGCACTATTTAAGTATGGAGCGCAGTTCAAAAATAAAACCTCAAGAACTTACCTCTCGCATAACGCACTATTTAAGTATGGAGCGCAGTTCAAAAATAAAACCTCAAGAACTTACCTCTCGCATCCATATCAACACTGCGTCCCAATTATAGTTTCACAAATTGTTATGCATGATACCTTCATTATTTTAATGATGAACAAATTATTTACCTTGTGAAGAGAATTATAACATGAATAATTGACCAAAAGATGGTCTATAGCCGGATAATAGTTTCCAACCAACATAATACTAGTCTTACCGTTTGTTTACACAATGCAGCAGACAATGACACAAACATCATTTCCAGTGGCATTGGCAAAGGTAAAGAGATCATCTCACTAATTTATCACATTAATACTAATATCTAAGACTTGCAAACAATACAGTAACCTACTATTCAACACCAACAAAAATTCATCACAACCCACCATCCACCTAGAAAACAAACTCCATGAGCCTCAATAAAGCTTTGACAATATAAAAAATTCATTCACTCGTGAAAGCAGAATGTACTTAAATCCATTTAACTAATAGAATCTTTCAAAACCCAAAACTCTTAAATCGGGGATACACGAGTCTACTGATGAAAGACTTTGAAATGCCAACTCCAATACAGCATACAGCTCTCCGTCCCTGTAATTCACCTTTCAGCCCGAACAACTCTATTTGCCACCATGCTTGGCCTTTGTATGAGATTGTAGAGCACCATCAGAGTTAAATGTCCTGTTAAAAATTAAAAATGTTAGTCTTAGCTAGTTCAAGTTGTTGAAACAAAACAAGCTTCCAGTTAAGAGGACGAACTTGCTACAAGTGTTGCAGGAGACTTGGCCACCAGATTTAGCCGGAGCTTTCCCAGCCTGCTTTGAAGGGTAAGGAGTCGCTGTGTGTGCACCCTTCTTGCCACCTATTCCAAAAGAATGAAAAATAAAATTGACCGTCCAAAGTTTTAAAATGACACCCAAATAAGTCTCTCCATTCGGAGTGAAACAATGTGAACCATAATCATTTCCAAATAGGCTGTACATAGACAAATAATACTATATATTTCAGGTACAATCATTAACGTATGCAACAAACGCCACATATCCCCTTATCCCTCTCATCATATTATCATATTTTATCCGCTTAACCCTCATATTTCGCCATTAACGGTTATTGCACTAGATGGAAATACACAGGCAGACTTTATAATGTGCTACAAAATCAGGGTTCCATGTTTTAGAACATAATCTTTTAGTGACATAACAATTAAGCTCATAAAGTTGATCCTGACAAATAAATCTCTCTAATAAACAGACATGGCACTGAAAAAAGGGAAACATGAGTTGAGACAGGAAACAAACAAAAAGGGTAGAAATTTTTCTTTCCTTTCTTTTCCCTTTTTTTTTTTTTTTTCTTTCTTGTGCAAAGTTGGATCTAGACAAATAAAAAACAAAAAATTATATATATTGCTTTAATAAAATGGGGTAATACAGCAAATTGGGTCAAGAAATATTGAAAGATACAAACATAGCATGAGTTGAGATAAAAACAATCAGAAAGGAGGTTCATGATTTCAAGGCAAATAATGCATTCAACTTGTTAACAAGGACAACATAACAGAGAGATAAACAAAAAGGAACAGATAGAGGGAGAGAGAATTCAGCCAAGAAACAAAATAGCATACACTAATGCTTGCCATCTTTTAAGTATTGAGTAATCCAAAAGAAAAAACAATTTCACAGACTGACATATTGTATTTTAAGAATGAGTTGAGATGTCATTATCATCAGTTCCAAATATTAGAAAGGATCCTGACTTCAATTTCTGAAAACACTCCAAAAAGACGGATGCTTCTGGATGTTTTCATTGTCAAGTCATTATATAAGAAACCAACACTGATCCAACTTATCATAGTTATAACATTATCATCAACCAAAATTTCAAATCGTGACTGCATAATGAAGGCCCACAGATAATTCTTGTAGGTGACAGCATCTCAAACTAAGGAACATTGTTTTTATAAATACGATGTTTTGAAACAAAGTGCATCTGCAAAATGTCATTAAGCAAAAAGATAAAGCAGACCACCTGATTTTTGAGGCGAAGCCAACTTTGCTTTTTTAGTAGTAGGTGTCTTCGTCGCAGATTCAATCACTCTTTTCTTCCCTGAGCCAACCTTCAAATTGATCATTAAAAAAATAAGGTAAGTAGTGAGTAATCGGGCGGCCACAAACTAACAATTTCCTACTTACCATTGCCTTCGGTGTTGCCTCATCATCACTGCTTCCATCTAAATCATCAAGCATTTCCTGAGCAACAAATCATGTAAATCAAAAAAGATAAGCACATGAACCATCAAACAAGCTAATAGAGAAATCAAAACAAGAATTAAGCATGCAATTCTTCGGACACCACAACGAAACCACATTCAAATTTCTCACACCAGCTATGAAGTCCAATGTACTCCTAAAACATTTGCATGATCTATATCTATATCTATAGTTATTAAAGGCCCAAGGTGCACTAAGGCACCAAAGTCTCCTGGAGCCTGAGTGCAAGGCCCAACATATGGAATGAGCCTAATCAAAGTAAGTCACATGTATAATAGAAATGAATATGAAATTTAAGTTCAAAAAAATTAAAATATGCAACACAAATTAATCAATATCAAAACAAAGAAAAAAATCAATATTTTTCAGTTTGAAGATGAATTCAATTAAATCAAGTTACATTTAAAACAATTCAAGTATTGAAACATAACTAATTAATCCTTTTAACAATCACATTTGACATGTGAACTCAGAAGACCAAGTAAATCAATGCGCATAAATCCATTTCAATAAGCATATTTATTAACTAAATAAAATGCCATTAAAAATGTACAACAAAAGGCAATAATCATGTAAATTTTTAGAATAACCTATATTACTATTAAGATTCAATACAACCACTAGTTGCAGTTATCGTAGCTAGTCAACAATAAAATTGAACAGTATGATCTATCAAAGAATACGACCTTGATAGGATGTAGTGTTTAAATTCATGGCTGTTTAATATTAATATATATATATATGAAGGATTAAAAAAACAATAACGCTAATTTTCCAGCCTGGGGCCTGCAAAAAAGCATGAGACTGTAGTAGGTCGACAACCCTAGGGCTTTTTTGGTACCTAGGCACACCTTTAACAACTTGAGACATATCAACTCATTTTTATACAATTTTTGTTCCTTCTAATCAAATGAACTTCAATGTAAAGTTGCAACAACTGGAACATAAAGCAAAGAGGTCCAAATAGACGATGTAAGATCCCATGATTACCAAAAAACATCATTCCTCAGTAATAATTTTCCTAAATGCATTTTAGCACTTCCATAAATAAATAAAAATTCCACTGTTCTGCAATAATTGGTACCTGTAATGTTATGGGAAAAAATGCAAATGTAGGTCCAACTTCAATGACGTGATAATATTAAAGTCGATGATCCTAAACCTAAACCAAGAGGCTACAAAATATCAATTTGTTATTATAGAAATTAATTTCCAACTAAATATATTCTTCCCAAGCCCAAGTTCTGATCTCTAAATCATTCCCCTTGTATGAATCCCTAACTTGTCGTCTCAAGGTAAGATAGCGTAATTTCAATCATTAAAAGATAATATGACCTCAACTTTCATAAGTAATTATAACTAGAAAATTCTATTCCCTAGGCAAAGAGATACCAAATACAACTTAAAGATTTTAACATTTGCAATACACAAACTCACAATATAATTTATCTGACTTCTTCAATCATATATAAACAAATAGTTACCTCATCTTCGTCCGAATCTGAGATCTCATCCTCATCATCATCATCTTCCTCATCCTCATCCTCATCATCATCATCATCATTCTCATTGCCTTTGCTCGGCTCCACAAGCATCACCTTTGGCTTTGAAGAAGATTCAGGCTTTGAAGCACTAGCTTTACTTGTTTCAGGCTTCACTTTCTCAACTTTAGGCACTAGTTTCCACAACGATCCAATGAAAGAGACATGTTTAGACATTGAAGTTACCAATAACTAACATATAATCCCATGTTGAATACAAGATTTACCATTTTCAATGACCTTTATCACTTCATCCTCTTCTTCTGAGGAAAATTCTGAATCTGATAATTGGACAACTTAATTAGAGACATCAATTATTTAAATAAACAAAAAAGAAAAATTAAGCCTTTACAGTGAAAAAAAACTTATCTACACTCACCAGAGAAACCTTCACTATCAGTGGAGATGACAAGACAACAAATAGTCAAGGAAATATAAACTGAAACTCAAAGACATGCACAGAATCACTACATACATAACACAAAAATAACATGCATTGATAGAAGTTGCAGGTCATTGTTTTTTTTTTTCCTGGTTGGTACTCACACACACTTGTCTCTTATGAGACTTGAACCCCTGACCTCCCTTTGGGAAGTAAGAGGCTGATACTTCTAGGCGACAAACCAGAGAAGAAACATGTTAACATAACATTTAAACAATTTCTGTCAAGATTCACAACTTCTCTATTTAGAAAATAAATCATGTCTATTTAAATCTATGAATTACAATTGCAAACAAATGCAATCCAAATTGTATCACAAGAGGGCCTCTCTAACTAGAAATTACAAGGGAACAAGTCAATAAGTTGAAATTCCAGAATAGGATCTACCTAGAGATTACCAGGCATTTACCACCACCTTCATTTTGAAGTTGAGGCCATGAAACAAAACCACATTTCTAAAATACTGATAGCAAAGAGCATTCAAACAAGCAATGAACATTTAACTGCATAAACATTGAACATGACCAACAATGAAAGTGAAGGATATGTAGAGGAACTGTCAACTTTGTATCCACTGAAGTAGACACTGCCATTTTTCCAGTCATGCGATAACTCAAATTCCTTATCAAACACCAAGTCAAATGTTATTTGAGGGAAACGCTCAGCTGAAAGGTTCGCCAAAATTAGCTTCTGGCCACCAACATTCACACGGAGGGGAACAAATATATTTCCCTTGTCCTTCTTTCCTTCACCCAGAGCAGCCTGGAAAACAAAAACAATCCAAACGTTTTACCATAGAAAACAACATGCAAGTGAATGTTATAAATTTAATCAACATCAACTTCACCAATAACACAGGAACAATTATTGAGACCTGTGAAATATGTATGAGTTTTTCTCCCTCGGGTATGACCTTAAGGGACTCTCCAGCTTTAACTTCAACACCTGAAAATAACATGAAGATGATATGGCAATACAGTGATATAATAGCAAATTACTATTCCCAAAACAACTGGTCGTATTTGTTGCATTGAATGAAAATCCAGATCCAAAACATTTGTTACATGTCATAATATAGAATTGTCCTAATGGCTAATGATGTGGACAAATAAAGAACATGTAAGCTCCAGAAGCATTTTACATTCATGGATAGATAGCAATCCAACATAGCATTTGCTTAAACAATTAAAAACATGTGATACTGAGGAACACAAGGAATGATATATTTGCATGATTTGTACGTCTGTATAACTGGGTGCACTTCTTTAATATGTATATTAGACATGCATGAGGGTTTGTAAGAAGCAAATAATCACAAGGTCTTAGCATGAATCAGACAAGTCATTGAAACTTATAGAGTTGTTAATAGATCAATCTTAGAATGAAAGCTTACAAACATTTTCTAGTAAAAATCCAAGGACAAACTTAAGAACATTTTGAGAACATCAATAGCTGATAAGCTTCAATCAAACACAAAACCACACACTAACACACTTGTGTACATAAACACTGAACCCAAATCAAACAGGGCCACAAAAGTAACAACCCTCTGTTTGGTTGCTGAGAAAATGATATAAATAAACTAAGTCTCGTGGTTTCTGTTCTCTTATTGGGTGTCCAAAAGAGAGTGAAAAACCCTAGACCCAAATTTCACACTCTTATTTTTCCTATATTTTATAGGCAAACAAGCAAGCAAAGCATAACATACACCATTAAAAAAATCTGGAATCACCAAAAGAAGGCACATACAGGAAACCGCACACTAATAAATTGTAAGGCTTAAAGCTAAAAAACATAGGTACATAAACACTGAACCCAAATTAAATGGGGCCAAAAAAGTAACAACCTTCTGTTTGGTTGCTGAGAAAATGATGTGTAGAAACTTGAAGTCTCGTGGTTTCTGTTCTCTTATTGGGTGAAAAACCCTAGACCCAATTTCATACCCTTTATTTTTCCTATATTCTATCAGCAAACAAGCAAGCAAAGCATAACGTACACCATTAAAACAATCAGGAATCACCAAAAGAGAGCACATACAGTAACAACTGATGAAAATCAAAACGTAAGTTTAAAACCCTAAGAGAGAGAGAGAGAAACGGTATAAACAGAACAGATTCTAAGATGAAGCTTACCCCAGAACTCCATTGACACCATTGTTAACAGATATATGTGGAGAGAGAGAGAGAGAGCAGTGCGAGAGGCAGTGAGTAGGAAGAAATGCTATGAATCAGGCAGAGAGTGGAATGTTTGAAGTGCTTTTATATCGAAGTTGCCGCCTGGTTAGGGTTTTGAGATAAATCTTTTGATTGATCGGAGCTTACTGGACCTGGGCCTAGACCTTATCTGGGCTCAAGACCCATCTGTGAGTTGTGGGTTGACCATTTTTTATTTCTCTATCGTTCTTCAACTTACTTGCATTATAATTAGGTAAATTACACTTACATGTAAAATTTGGTTTAATTACACAGAGATTGATAATGTCCGTAATAATACACCGTTCTTCCATCAAGTTAAAATTATTATTAGCCCGGGGCCTAGCAGTGATGGTAAGGTGTTGGCTTGGGTCATCACTCGGCCCAGGTTCGAGCCTTCTCCCCTGCTAAGATTCTCTCGACTCACCCGGTGTATGATGGGGGCAGCCCTACACCTCCAGTTTGGTGCCACATGTTGGGGTCTGTAAGGACCGCTTCGTGGGAAGTTCTGGGTTATCAAAAAAAAAAAAAAAGTTAAAATTATTAACCACTCATTAAAACCATCAAATTTTGTCAACGATAAGACGAATTTGCTATTCTCTTTTTATAAAAAAGACGTTACGGTTTACCAAAAATATCCCCACCAAGTCCATGGGGTTTTATGCATTTCACCTAATTGTGTCAATTTACCTTGTTTATTTCTTTTTTGAAAATAATATTTCAACTTATATTTTTCTATTACATGCATCATTGTGCTTTTAATTAAAAAAAATAAAAATAAAAAATTATTAAATAAAATTTATAATTATGAATGCAACTACATATAAGTTCAAATCTTATTTGTTTACTCATACTATATATTATATATCATATATATATATATATATATATATATATATATATATAATGTAATTGAAGGATATGAAATAGTAGGCTTTTCTATATCATTTTGTTTGGTTAAAAAGAGAAAAAAAAATGTAGGAAAAGGATATTAGAGAATTTAACTATGCTAGATATATGCTAAATAAATAAACATGCAATTGCACTCTTTACAATGAATTTTACTCCCTCTTTTTTTGTTTTTTCTTTAATTAAAAGCAATTTTTTTTTTTTTTACAAGGCAAGAAAGATTAGAAGTTAGATTAGTAGGTATAAAGAGTCGAATCCTGACACTCCTAAAATTCACCGAATGCACTAACCACTAGGTTATCGAGTAGATATATATGTGTAAAAAAATATAAGTTCAAATATTATTATAAAAAATTGGGTAAAGTGCATTAAACCCCCCTGAACTATTGGTCATTTGCAGGAAACCCCCCTGAACTACAAAAAACCTCCATGAACTATGATTTTGTTGCAATTTACCCCCTTGAACTATTGGTCATTTGCAAGAAACCCCCCTGAACTATGATTTTGTTGCAATTTACCCCCATGACATCAGCTTTCGGTACCGAAAATTTTGAAAGACCAGTTTACCCTTATAACACGTACACTGTATCATTTTAACTTATACACTTCTTACGTTTTTTTTCTGCCAAAAGATGCCTTTCACCCAACACAACCCAAAACTAAGAGCTAGAGAGAGAGAGAGAAGAGACCAAAGAAATCCGAGGTCGGCGGGATGGCTCGGTCTCGGATGATGGCGGCTTGTGCGCGGAGGACTCGGCTGTGATGAGAACTCGATTGACTCGGCCGTGAACTGTGGAGGCAGCGGCGAGCTCAAGGGGGCTCGGCGGTGAACTGTGGACGGCTGTGTGCTCGAAACACGGACGGCGATGTGCTCGGCTATGGAGATGGCAGAATGGGCCGGCGAGATTGGAATGGACAGTGAAATGGACCGGCGAGCAAGGTGAGCTGAACGGCGGGCAAAGCGGCGACGGCAATGGGCTGATGCAACGGTGCAGAGAAGTGCGATATATATGGCTGACGGATCTGGCGAGTGGTGCAATGGTTATGATGGAGCTATGACAGGAGACCCACCGATCCCAACAACAAATTCCTCGGCTTCATCGTCCCTTGCAATCAATCAATTCACGTGGATGGGGTAAACTGCAAAAAAATATATAGTTCAGGGGGGTTTTTTGCACATACCCCAATAGTTAAAGGGTTTTTTTGCAACTTTTATAGTTCAGGGGGGTTTCTTGCACATACTTCAATAGTTCAGGGATTTTTTTTACAATTTTTATAGTTCAGGGGGGTTTCTTGCACATACCCTAATAGTTCAGGGGTGTTTAATGCACTTTACCTAAAAAATTTAGAATATCTTGGTAAACTTTCTTCTAACGATGAACAGGTGAAAAAAAAAAAAAAAAAAAAAAACGAAAATGAAGGAGTGTAGATGGCTCAAGCCCGCTTTGCGCCTTGACCTGGATGGCATTCAATGTAATGTAATGTTCCTCTACGCATATCGGCTAATGGGTATTCAAGAAAGAAAAAAAAAATGTAGATTCACTCAATTGAAACCCCCCTGACTTGGTGGGGGTATTTTAGTAAATTAAACTCCCTTGATTAGTTAGGACACTTTTTGCCAAAAATAATAATAATAATAATAATAATAATAATAATAATAATATTATTATTATTATTATTATTATTAAATTAAATAAATTAAAAGTGATTTTACTACATGCAAAACACCACGAGTCAAAGGGATTAAATACAGTTTATCCAATATTTGGGCGTCAAAGTATATACGAGTGGAGCCAGTTAATGTCCACAGGGGCACATGCTCCCCCTGCCCTGCCTATTTTATTTATATCTATATCTATATCTATACTATTCTAAAAGTGTAGAGAATTTCTTTACATTTTGGATTTTTTTATTTGATATATACACTTTAATTTATTGCTTCCATATATATTAATATATACACATAGAATTTCTCTCTTTTTGTTTTTTTTTTTTTTTTTGTTACATATATTTATACCTAAAATAATATATTTTTTATTCTAAAAATGTAAAGAATTTTTTTAAAAACATTTTTAATTTCTTAACATTTTGGATTTTTTTATTTGATATATATACTTTAATTTATTGCTTCCATATATATTACTATATACACATAGAATTTCTCTCTTTTTTTCTTTTTTTTTGTTACATATATTTATACCTAAAATAATATATTTTTTATTCTAAAAATGTAAAGAATTTTTTGAAAAACATTTTTTATATTTGTTAAATAAAATAAATTTGTTAATTGTATCTTTTTGGGTATATATCTATACCTAAAATAATATTTTTTTTTATTCTAAAAGTGTAAAAAAAAATTTGAATTTCTAAAATTTTTTCATATTTTTTAAAATTATAAAAATAAGGTTTTTGATTTGATTCAAAGTGTACAAAATATTTTCTAATACAATTTATTATTTGATTAAATATAGTTTTTAATCATAATAATTGCAATTCAATTGCTTTTAATTATGATTTAACACTTGTGCCTTTTGAGATTTTTTTTCACTGTTTTAACCGAAAAGTGGTAATATACCATTTTCATTTCTAACTTCATTTCCTACGCTAAACCAAAGAAGTTGTAAATAGTCTGCTAGCTTAAATTGCACAAAACTTTTTCTGAATTTAAGAGGTTCTCTGGAGTTGCAGTAATGGAAAATTATCTATATCTTGTGATTGGCCGAAAAGGAAAACAAAGCTTCTCGCTTTGATGTTTTATCTGCTTCCCTCTTTCATGTTTTATAATTATGATGTTTTTATCCAATTGTTCATTACCAATTATTTATTATTGTGAAACTTGCATATTCTTTCTTATACATGGTAACAATATATTCTAACATTTCTACCTTGAACTTTTAGGAGACATTGCTTCAACAAATAAAAATGGACCTTGTTGACCAACCCTGAGGCTACGTTTGGCATGCATGAATGAAATGGAATAAAACTTAGAATGGAATGAGAATGAGAATGGAATGGAATGAGTATCACCATTCTAATGTTTGGTGTGACACGGTGAATCGTTATAAAATAGAATGATTATTACCATTCTGTTGTTTGGTTGAGGATCATTAAATTTGGAAGGGAATGCCTTTTCTCAAAAATGCCCTTTTCATTGGAGGAAAGAAAAATAAAAAAATTATAACTAAAAAAATAAAAATAATAAATAATAAAATTATAACTAAATAAAAAATAAAAAAAATTATAACAAAAATATATATATAAATAATAAATAATAAAAATGAAAAAAATAATATACTCAGAAGATAAAAGAGATTTAATACCTACTTATCAAAAATAAATAAATAAATAAATTAATACCTGCAATTTGGTTGAAAGTCCTGCAACTTTTTGTCAATGACAACTCTGGGTATATTAGAAGAGAGAGAAGATAAAAAACTTTTACGACGTCTAATAAAGAAGCCGATAAACATGAAAAATGGAATGTTCCAGAGTGAATGCAAAATATTTTTGTCATATTAGAATGTGATTAAGGGTTTATTGGGATTATTACAAAAATATTTTATCTTACTATGGAATGGAATGGTCATTCCATAGGTTTACTAATGGAATCGATTTTCATTCCCTGGAATGGATTTTCATTCCATTGGAATGGTCATTCCATTTCATTCCTGCACACTAAACAATTGAATGGTTGGAATGAGCATTCCATTCCATTCTATTCCTGCACACCAAACGTAGCATCAAGGTTTTGATTGGAATTTTGGAGGGGAAGTGGATAATGAGTATTAACGGTTAGTACATGTTTTTTAATCATGACAAATTTATAATCAAATATTAGCATTTTAAGCTTTTTCCATGTAAATCTTTTTGTAGGTGCAAAATTTCACTCAACCAATAACGATTAATAGAAATAAAACAACTCACTCAATCAGCAATAAAAATAACCAAGAACAGTATATAGAAAAGCGTAGAATTGCTTGGATCCATTTTATTGGAGGTCTTGGCCTCTATTTATACATAAAAAAGTAGTAGAATTATGGTAGGACTCGCATTACTTGTCCTCTAATTCTTTCCATGTATGACTTTCTTTACAATTAGAATTCTTTCCATTATTTAATTATCCATGCACAGAACTTGCTTTGTGTAGAACTTCCGATTGCAGAGTCTTCCTTCTATGGTAAATCCT